GGAGGAGTGCAACTTTTATTGCTTTTCTGAATATTACTCATACGACCTGTGACCCAGATTTTGGTTTGTTGTTTTCCTTTTTTTTTTAAGGAATTTTTATGTTTTTTTGTTAAATAAGCTGGTTTTTAGTTTGGTTATTCTTGATTTAATTTAGAAACTATTTGTACTTTGCTTTGGGGTTTTATTGATAAATTCTTGCTTTTTTAATTATTTAGAGTTTGGGCCAAAACTATAGCATACTTTTTGGGGGGCAGTTTGGAAATGTTGTATTGGAGGTCGCCCTAAAAGGCTTCTCTATGAATTGAAATGCAGGGAAGTCTTAGAAGAGTCTTGAAAGAGTAAGTAAGGCTTATCAAATAAAGGGAAATATTATTTACCTTTTTATTATTATTATTAAAAAAAATATATATACCTTTTTTGAACTATCAGGTACTAAACAACAGGTAATTATCTATACGAATAGCCTTTTGAGTCTTTTAAATTAATTCTTTTAGAATTTTGTTGGAATAGAGAACTATAAGAACTGGATCTATAAGAACTATAAGAACTATAAGAACTATAAGAACTATAGGAACTGATTGAGCTAAAAGACAAAAGATATGTGACAACTAAGATACCTACAAGAAAAAAGATAGAAACTATCATAAATCTTTAAAAACAATTACTTTTATAGGGATTCCTTGTCCTCTCCTATCTTTTTCCCCAGTACTTCCCAAGGACCTCATATAGAGAAGCAGTTCGCTTTTTTAAAACTGGAAAACTATCTATAATACACCGTTTGGGGAAAAGTTACAACTATCAACAGATAGTTTATAGATCTACATAAAAGGACTATAAGAAGAAACCCAATAATTATCCCATATATCTTTTCTATAAATCCTATATATCTAAATAACCTAAACCATGGAAAATAGGTATACTCTATAGAGTATAGAAAAGGTATCTGAAGAAAATAAGCTTGTAAAACAAAGGAGACCACTTTAGTGTCTAATATTTCCAAAAAATTAAGAGCTTACTTATAAGAAGAAAAGTCAAGAACTATTTCAAGAAGCTAACCTCATAAATCTATCCTCAAAATCTATAAAAATTGATAAACTAAACTCTAATTTAAACTAATAAGCCCCTTTTAGATTTAAAAACCTTTTAAAATGAAATCCCATCTAGCCGTTCTGGTAGTAACTCCACTCCGATCGTCACCAGCCACTCGATTTCCGCCAAATGCCCTGCCGGGAAATGGAAAATGGGATACTACATACCTACATACTTACTCCTTCTCTGTAGAGCCCCGGGCACCTACTGTCTATCTGTCTGTCCTCCTGTCTGGGGGGGCTGGTGCAGCAAATATCCTGACCATGATGCCTGGCAATTGCCAATCGGCAATCGGCAATCGCCATGCAAACAAAAGGCAAACAAAATCTAGTTAATTGGGTAAAATGCTCGACGGAAATTGAAAGCAAAAGCAAAAGTAAAATGGCAAAAACATAAATCGAACAACGGTCAGGATAGAGGGAAGAGAGAGAGGGGTAGTTCATAGGTCATAGAGAGACCAAAAATGCAATAAATATCTAAATTTTCTCCTCTTTCCGGGGCATTATTTATCGATTTATGCAAATGCCATCCAAATGCTCGCCACCGAGCATTTTATCAATAAACAACAATAAATTAAAATCAACAATCACTGGACACTAAACATAGCTCTTTCTCTCTCTCTCTCTCTCTCTCTCTCTCTTTCTATCTTGTATAGCCATCTCTTTTCTTGTTTTTTTTTTTTGGGTCTGAAATTGAAAATGAAATTTATAAATGCAAATTGTCAACGCCACCGAAAAATGCCAACGGCTAGAAAATGCATACCATTTTCATCCAAAAATGCAAAAATATATATATATATATTTCATATTTTATACATAAATGGAATATATATATATATATAATATATATCTGGGATAAGTACGACATATACACACTGGTATTCCTTCCGCTATATGGACAAATTTGTGACAACAACAAGGCTCGTTGTTTGCAATGAAAAATAAAAAATGAAAAATAAAAAAAAGGAAAACGAGCGAAAATTCATCGAAAAAAAAATATACATATTCCTGGGAGTTGCGGAAAATTGTGGCAGAGGTGTGGCAGGTGAGGTCAGGGGTCAGGTTGAGTTAAGGAATTCAAGCTTTTACTCTATCAGGGATATGTAAAGACTTGTCTTAAGGCCTTATTACACGATCAAATGCAATCAAGCATGATCTATCGATAAAGACTTCAACTATCGTCGTAGAAAGTCCATCTCCGACAAGAAAGAAGAGCCATTTTTGACTTAAATATTTAGAAATAAACTTAAGAAAAATCTTAAAAAGGGGTGTTGATAAATTTTGAAGATTTTTAAACGTTTTTTAAGACTTCTTACTATAAAAGACCTTTAATAAAAGCTTTAAACTATCGTATATTCTCTCACGTAGTCCATCACCAACGAAAATAAGTAATCATTTTTAGCTTGAATTTTTATAAAATAAATTTAAAAAAAAAAAGATAATTTGAAGATATAACCCTTTATCATTTTCAAAACATTTTTAAGGCTTCCTTCTAATCTTTCTAATAAAAAAATCGTTAATATAATTTGTTAACTGTTTTAAATGGTCCATCTTACAGAAAATACTATCTATCTTCTATCTGTCTATCTATCTATCTATCTTCAGTCTCTTAAACTTCTCAAAAAAATCTTAAATATTTCTTGATAATTTTCAAAGCATTTTTTAAGACTTCTTACCATAAAAAGCCTTAAACTATTGCAGAAGGTCCATCACCAACAAAAATAAATAATCATATTTAACTAAAAAATCTAAAAAAACAAATTTAAAAAGAAACTTCTAAAATTTATAATTGAAAGGATTTTTTTTTAATAATTTTTCAAACCTTGATAGTTTGTTTAAAAAATTTTTAAATCTTTTTACTTTAAAAAATCTTTAATAAAAGCTTTAAAATATCGCAGAAGGTCCATCACCAAAGACAACAATGATTTTATCAATTTTATCTTAAATTTCTTTTTAAAAAAACCTTAAAAAACTCTTCTTTATTTTCAAATCATATTTTAAGGTTTTTTTTAACTTTAAAGACCTTTTTAAAAAAGAGAATCAAGAAAGTGCATAAACTTTACTTACCCCACAGACACACATTTTCTTTTTTTTTTTTTTGCCATTTTTCCGTAGCTATTTGTGCATTCTTTTGTGCGACAAGCAAACAATTTGCATTTTCCATTTTCCATTTTGGCGTCAAATGAAATGTGCCCGAGCGACCATGCCACCATGCCACCATGCGACCAACCGACCACCACCCATGCTCTTCCTGATGTTGTCGCCTCTTTCCTGATGCCACATTTCCACTTTCCTGATTTCCACCTCCACCGTCCACCGTCCTGAATCTTTCTGCTCCACTTTTGGGTGGCTCCGTTGACCAAAAAACCAGGAGCTGCTCTGATGATTTATTGCACTTTTGACGTTATTGATATTTTATTTGTTTGCGATGAAGTCATTTAGTGCCGAGGCTGTGCAGGCTGCACGCGTGTCTCGGGGCACGACCAGGACGACCAGCCATCTTGGAGAGCAAGTATGTATGATGATGATGATGATGATTTATGCCCACATCCTGCCAAAGCAAGGCAAGGCAGGGTAAGGATTTCTCCGAGGTCTCTGGCTCTTATTAGAGAAAATGTAAATAATTCTAAAATGAAAAAGAGAAAAATATAAAGAAATATAAGAAATTGAAATATATTTATGGATGAGGGTGTAGGTACTATAAGACTTCTCGATTCCTGATCTAATTTCAATAATAGTTAGTATACTGTTAATAATAGTTAGTTTAAGTTATCAAGATTAGAATTAGATACTCCTGTAGCTTGAAGAAAGGTCAGAAAGGCTTGTGTTTATCACTGTATCGATAAGCTCTCAAGACTCCAAGCTTTTAATCGAAGTTGGTCCATCACTAAGAAGAATATATAGGAATTAGGGCAAGGTTGTACCAATAAGCATTATATTGATATATTGAGAAAAGAAGAATGTATTCCTAGAAAGAATGTGTCTCCTATAAGACCATTGTTCGAGCATAACTATAGGCACTCTTGCCACGATAAATCCAGATATTTCCACAGATATATCGATATAAGCCTGAAGGAAAGTCTATTAGCTTTCTAGAAAAGATATTCCATCACTAATAAGACCAAATTTCAGGCAAGACCATTCAATATAAGTGTAAGCATAGCGATGGGCACTGTTGCCCTATAAGATAGACATAAAAAACTATATATCTTATAGGTTTTGATGCAGATTGAAGCAGAATCCAACTACAACAATTTTTTTGAGGTACTCCTCTCCAGGATAGGATAAAAATTGGCCAAGATATGGATTAAGTTTGGAATAGGACTGGGTTATCGATAAGCTCTTAAGGATATAAGCTTTCTATCGAAGTAGTTCCATCACCAACAAGAAGAATACACTTTAATTCTACCAAGACTGTACAAGACTACACATGCCTTAGCGATGGGCACTCCTGAAAAGGGAAATCCAACACGATATATCGATAAAAGCCTCACGATTTCAAGCTTTTTATGAAAGAGTATCTACCATCTCTAAAGTTTATAACTCTGAACTCTATACTAGTCTTTATTAAAGAAAGGTTAACAATATTTAATAAAAAATAGCCCCTTTTTAAAAACCAAACCTAGTAACCCTTTTATTTTCCCACCGACAGCCAACAAAAAAGCAAAAGATCAAAAGTTCAAGTCAGCTCAGCAAACCGTGCCCCATAAATCCAAGGTCACAGCAATCCCATCCGTTGGGAGAAACACTTTCGGTTACCGTTTCGATCGTTCGACTCAAAATCAGGCCCCAAAAGTAAGCCCCCCCAAAAGGCAGCCCCAAATAATTGGATTCATAAATCAACCGGAAAGCACTCGATCAGCGAGAGCCCCAAGTCCCCAAATCCGGAAGTAGACGAGACGAGCGAGCACCATGTCGCTGGGATTGAAGAGGTCGTCCTTCATGTTGTCGTCCTTGCCGGTGGCAGCCCCCTGGCGTTGCCTGCCCGGTGCGGCCGTTGCCCTGCTGCAGAGACGCCACAAGTCCAGCTACGACAAGACGGTGTGCAACCTTCGGGTGAACAAAGAGACCAAGGTCCTGGTCCAGGGATTCACCGGCAAGCAGGCCACCTTCCACTCCAAGGAGTCCATTAAGTACGGCACCAAGATCGTCGGCGGTGTCTCACCGAACAAGGGCGGCACCGAGCACCTGGGCAAGCCGGTCTTCAAGACCGTCGCAGAGGCCGCCAAGGAACTGAAACCGGACGCCACGGTGATCTTCATACCGCCGCCATCGGCCGCCGAGGGCATATGTGCGGCGATCGAGAGCGAGATCGGTCTGATTGTGGCCATCACCGAGGGCATACCCCAGGTGGACATGGTGCGGATCATGCAGATGCTGCGCTGCCAGGAGAAGTCCCGCCTGCTGGGCCCCAACTGCCCGGGCCTCATATCGCCTGACCAGTGCAAGATCGGCATCATGCCCGGCCACATCCACAAGCGCGGCTGCGTGGGCATCGTCTCTCGGTCCGGCACCCTCACCTACGAGGCCGTCCACCAGACCACCGGCGTCGGCCTCGGCCAGGCCCTGTGCGTCGGCTGTGGCGGTGATCCCTTCAACGGCACCAGCTTCATCGACGCCCTGCGCATCTTCCTGCCCGACAAGGAGATCAAGGGCATCATACTGATCGGCGAGATCGGCGGCACGGCCGAGGAGGAGGCCGCCGACTACCTCAAGGCCAACAATACGGGCTGTGAGGCCAAGCCCGTGGTCGGTTTCATTGCCGGGCAGACGGCACCGCCCGGTCGCCGTATGGGCCATGCCGGCGCCATCATTTCCGGCGGCAAGGGGGCGGCCAGCGACAAGGTCAAGGCCCTGGAGAAGGCCGGCGTCAAGATGGCCAACAATCCCTGCCACATGGGCACCACGCTCTACAACGAGATGGTGCGCCTCAAACTGGTCCCCAAGACTGACAAAAAATAAACGAATCTATCGTGTTGGAGAGGAAGGGTATGGAGTTTTGGAGGAAACACGAATACTTTCATGTTCGAAACAGTATAATTCATAATTCAAATAATTAAATAAATTATAAATATTATTTAGGATAGTTGGTTATAATGGGGGGAGGATTGTGGCAAGAATTCAGATGGAAAATAGGGGTAGTTGTTGAGTTATAGGGTGATATATGGTCTTATATGTGGTTTAGTAGCTTATAATCCGAGATTTCTTGAGGGAAACCCCTTTTTTTATTACCCAGATTATCTTTGGATTATAGTGCCAAGAATTCATCTTGAATAGGAGTCTAATATCTGAGATATAGGATGATATATGATATATAATAGTCTCTAGTATGTGGTATAGGAGCGTATATCCAAATTAGTCTTTAAAAAAACCTCCCTATATATGTTCTAGATAAACTCTAGATTATAATGCCACGAATTCAGTTCAAAAATAGGGCTAATATATGAGTTATAGGGTAATATATGATATATGATGGTCTTAAAAAAGATATAGTTTCATATAAAGAAAGTATTCTTTGGAGAAACCCCTATCTTTATTTCTGAGATCGAAACCTAATCATAAAATCAATAAATCAGCTTTAAAACAGAGCTAATATCTGAGTTATAGGATGATAGCACTATCATATGGTCTATGATAGTTTTATATATGGTATAGCATCGTATAACCAGAGTATTATTTAGAAAAACCCTCGAGTATATTTTACAGATTAAATCCAGATTATATTATTAAAATTTCAGCTCATAAGGATAATATTTGAGATAAAGGATGATATTACTATTATTTGATCTATGATGGTCTTATAAATGATATAGAGTATTTCATAATCCAATTACTATGCAGGGAAACCCCTCTATATATATACCAGATGAACCCCTGATTGTAATACCAATAATTCAGCTTTAAAGAAGGAATCAGAGTTATAGGATGGTAGTACGATAAACGATAGTATTATAGTCTTATAAAATGTTATAGAGCACCTTATAATCAAGCCAGTCTTTGAAAAACCTCCATCTCACTATCTTAACCCCTTAATCCACCCAAACTACCTAGTTTTTCTTTGAAAACCAACCCAATCTATGCATTAGGATAATGTTATTACAAATAATAGTCTAATATCTCAGTTAGTGTTTTAAAATCAAAGTAGTCTTTGGAAAAACTACATTTCCCTTTGAAACCCCTTTTCCAAACCAAGTAACCTCTGAAACCCCACTCATCCCAACATGCCAGTTCCCTTCACTCCGAAACCTCATTACGTTTTCGACTCTCAAACCAGTTAGATGTCAAGTATATTCTTTTCCAAAATAATATTAAATTATTTTATTTTTTCGGAAGCTCAGTAAGAGCTTAGTGCTATTCAGCAAGCAGGAATCTAGTTACCACTGGTGAGTATTGAAGACTACTTGTATTCCCTATAAAGTGACCTGACCCTGAGAGGTCTCAGAGGTCTCAGAGGTCTTTGGGTGGCGGCATCTCGACAAATATTTAAATCACTTGCTGGCGACCCCTCCACCCTCTGACCTCTTCAACTTTAGAGCTTAACTAACGCATAATTTAACTGAAAAGCGACCACTCCTCGGAGACCTTTTCCACAGAAGCTGTTAAAGGCAGGGGGGATGAGGAGGGACTCGAGACAAGTGCCACACATCCCTGCCACTTTTTTTTCTCTCGAGATATATTCTCATGTTATATGGCAGGAGGATATCTGTGTATAGTTTTCAGAGCAGCTGCCATGTGGCAGCTATTTGGCAAATGCCTCATTCCGTGGCAGCATCCTTGTTTGGAAGGCACTTTTCCGGCCAAGAGCTCCTCACAAATGCATTTTCCTTATTAAGGACAGGTCTCTGTCTCTTTCTTCCTCTATCTATTTGTCTCTTTTTCATACACTTTTCCACCTGAAGAGTAGTTCAGGAGTGTGGAGGAGTGTGGCGTGACTCTTGATATAATGGCATGCGGCGTGGCAGCAAGGCGTGATAGGGCGTGGCAGGTCCCTTTTTGACCGCAACTACAGCGAAAAGCAATTAAACCAAAAAAAGTGAGAAAAAAAAAAGGAGCTGGAAGGAGGTCAAAGGTTAGAGAAGCTATAGAAGCAGAGAGTCTCCTTTGATTGGCAAATCAATTGGAATACCAACCAGATCCAACCAGACATCCTCCACCTCCAGTGACAAGTCTATTCAAGCTGAGAGTGAAAGCTTAACCCTCTAACACCCCACCCCCTCTGTACAATTTATGACACCGCCATGGCCATCAAATTAATTGAAAAACTAAGCCTGCCCCCAACTAAACTTTTCTCGCCTTTCACCCAAAACTTTCTCCCAAAAAAAAACACATAACCTCAAAGCCCACACACAAGAACAGACATGAACAGACAAGCACAATCAAGCACACACATGCTCCCCACTACACTAATAAAAATTATAAAGATAGTTTGAGGCAAAAGGGGGGCGGGCTCCAAGGGTGGGTGTGGCACATGCAAACAAAACCCCAAAATGTTGCACTTAATTGCAACTATTGGAAACTTGGTCCCTTAATCCTCCACCGGCTCTTGCAACCTAAATTGGTTTATTTTCTTGCCACATCCTAGGGAGGAGTGAGGCACGTCCTAGAGTCTAGGATGGAGTGGGAGCTAGAGGGAGAGTGGCCTTGGGGAGTCTCCCAGTTCTGTCAGCTTATGCTCGTCATGCAACTTATGCATGTATGTATGTATGTATGCATGTAGTTGTTGCATGCCACACATCCCCACATGCTAAAAATCATTCTACTGATTGGCCAATTACGGCAATTGACATTTTATCTGTTTATGATTCGATTTCGGAGCTGAAAACGACCTCTTAAATGCCTCATAATGATTACCAGTGTTTTCAGCTCTCTCTTCTCTCTCTCTGATGATTGGCTTTAATTGACTTTGCTTTGGCTATATAATGCCTCAATTAGGGATCTATATCTGGTAGATAGGAGAGCGGGTATTAGGAGGGAAGGAGGTTAGGCACTATCTAGCGATAGCACTGTACTATAGATACCTACTATAGATATCATATCATAGCTTATACTTTCTATAGTTAACTATCCTGTAGTTAACTTCCATATATTACAACTTTAAATACATAATCCTTCAATTTTGGATCTATATTTGGGAGATAGGTCTGGTATTAGGAGGAAAGGAGGTTAGGTCGAAATCACGCTTTACTATAGATACTATAGATATCACATCATAGTTTATACTTCCTATAGTTACCTATCTTCTATCAACAATGAAAGGTACTTCTAATTATATCCTAAAACTAATCCTCCTTCTAATAATAATCCTCCTTCTACCTCAGTATTCCCTAAGTAGCGTTAATTTTAAGCCTTTGGATATTTAATTCTTCAATTAGGGATCCATATATGCTAGGATACCCCCTTCAGGTATTAAGAGAGAAGGAGGTTGGGGACTATCGCTATCACACTGCACTATAGATACTATAGATATCATATCATATTTTAGTTAAAGTTAACTTTCCTATAGTTTACTTCCCTATATGAAGAACTTCAAATACCTAATTCCTCAATTAGGGGAATAAACCCTATCTACCCTACCCTTTTAACCCCTATTACCCTCTTAGTCCCTTATTACTATACATATATGTATCTGGTAGATAGGGTTACTATCACTGTCCTATATCACTATTATCACAACTATACACACTATAAGCTTATCCTCCCTTCCTACTCCGTATCTCTAAGGTATCCCCACAAAGGGTATCCTTATAAAACAACCAAAGGTAGACCTTTTCTCCTATTCTACTCTAAAATATGGATCTATATTCCATAAGGAATGGTATATATACTTCCTATCCTCATATTGTTAACTTCCTATTCTATAGTATTTACTATCGAAAGTTTATGGAATTATATTTCATTGAATTAAATACATTAATCCTTCATATCCCTATGTAATCCCTATGAAATCCCTACTGAATTACTTTATTTTAACCCTTTATAGTATATATCCCTTAAGTAGAGATCAATATTTGATAGAGAATGGGGTAATATTACTATAACTAATCACTCGTACTAGCACTATCGCTGTCATCATAAAATATATATTTTATAATACTTATCAAAGACTAATATGGGGTATCATATACCTTTGAATAGTCATATCCCTAAGTAATCCCTATAAAATCTCCAAAATACAATATATTCCAAACCTTTAGATATATGATCCTCAATTAGGGATCTATATTTGATAGGAAATGGGTTGTCTGTTCTTCCTAAGAGTATCATAAACCACTTACTAACACACCCTATCCCTAACTAATCCTCCACTAATCCACCTCTTTCTAAACCCCTTTCCAGATCAGTTCAAATTAGTTATCCAAAATGAATAGAAAGGACCTTCTGATCGCCAATGAAATGACAGCCAGTCCTACCCCGTCTGGCCGTGACATGACCGAATCGCTCCCCGAGCCCAAGAAGGAAAGAAGCCATCGCGGAAGCCAGACTAGTTCCCAGGGGACCCTTCTCGCGAAGATCTACGGCAGCTCCAGTACCCTGGTCGAAGAACCTAAACCTGTAGGTTCAGCCGAGAAGACATCATCATCCAACAACGAGTCCCAAAAGACCAACGATTTGGGCTCCAAGTGCTCCAAGTGTGGCGCCCGACGCGGTCTTCCGGTTAGCGACTCCCGGGTGAAGCTAAGTCCCTCATCACCGTCCCGTATCCAGAACATCTATGACTTCCAGCCGGCGGTAATGCCTTATATTCCCAGCCTCGACATCCCGAGTACTTTGGGCAAATCTAGCAGCCTAACCCAGGAGCCATGGAGTAGCGTGGAGTCCCTCTACCGCTCCTACCGCGCCAAAATTGTGAAGCCATCGTCGAAGGAGGAGAAGTGTTACTATCCGTATACGGCCACATCCGACTTGAGCCTGAACCGGGAGCCCAACAAGACAACCGACTCCGAGTTCGAGAAGGATCTTCTCGAGGAGGGGGAGAGGGAGCGTTTCTATCGCCACATGATGCAAATGTATGGCAACTATCATGCCCAAATGGTGGACTTTACCAAGCGGACCGCCGTCGAGATGCGCATCCGGCGGGAGCGAATGTTTGGACGCCGTAGACGCCACTAGAACGTCCCCAGTTTCGATCATCATAGTTTTAGTTTAGAGAGTTTCAAACAATAAAAATTAATCATCGTTAAGTGAATAAAATAGTTTAGGAAACAATAACAGTATGGTGTTTTTTATTTTTTAACTCTACTGTCGCAATTAATAAAGTTTTCTGCCCGAAAGAAGGACAACAGCAAGGATATTCAAGGACTACGACATACCCTATAATGTCCTTTTATTAAAAATAAAAAAATAAGGCAGCTCTTTAACTTTAAATCTAGTCCAAGTTTAAGTTTTAGTTTAAGGACCTCTCCGAAAAGTGTAATTCAATTAGGCAGGACAACCTGCTAGGCAGGATAATCGAGAGTGTCCTGCCGCCTACCCAGTACCGCCATGGGGCTGCCCCTTCTGTTTACAGTTTACGGTTCACAGTTCGCAGTTAAACAATTTTCCAGAGTTTTCGCTTTTTGCGAGAAATTTTCTGCGAAAATCGCTGACGCTGCGTGTGTGACAGCAGAAGCCGCAGACCCCCGCCAATCGTTCCTCCTCCTGCTCCTGGTCCTGGTCCTGCCAGAGTGTCTTTGCATAATTTTTAGACAACCGCACAAGGGTGACTTTAATGTCATCAGCGGTTTTATCCCATCGTCCTGCGTCCTGTGTCCTGCGTCCTGTATCCCGTATCCCATGTCCTCTATAATATGTCCTTGTTGCTGTTCCCACACTCCATGTCCCTTTCCGCCAGCCTTCCACTTCCGACAGCTGTCAGCGGATTTAATGTGCAGTTTTAATCAAATTCCCATCAGGCTAGTTCGGTGACGAGACTCTGGCCAGATTCCCAGGTCTCCCAGAGAGACCAGAGGGGTGGGAGGGCTGACTGGCTATGCCACCGGCAGTAGGGATTAGGAGCAACATGTCCTTTGGTTTTCAAGGTTAAGGAAGGGGAAGTATGAAGATATGGAAGGGAATACCAAGAGGGGCCATCGTAAAAATTTGAAAAAATATTTTATTCTCGGATTTTGATGCAGAATGGTGGAGAATCCTTCCACAAATCGATTGAGGTACTCCTTTCTAGAATCGGATCAGAATTGGCCGAGATATGGGCATGGATAGGGGCCTCATAGGGATATCCGGAAAGCGTGTTAATACCTTCCGGATTCTCGTTATTCCGGAGCCTTGAAAAGGAAAAAAAAGGCAAGGACTCCCAACTCGATACAATTAAAAGGCCATCAGGCGATTGCCGGTAGGAGGCAAGGATAAAAAATGCAGGGAAGCTGCAACCAGAGATCCAGAAAAGGGGGGGAACATGTAAAAAAAAAGAAAAACTAAAAAAAGGCAACCGCTGTCTTGTAAGGAAGTGCAAAGTGCATTGGTTACGATGCCACTAACACTTCAGACTTTGTGGCGCGCTGAGACTTTGCGGTTTTTATGCTCCACTTGCCACTATAGCGTGTGTGTGTGTGTGTGTGTGTGTTTGGGGCAAGGTGTTTGGGCAAAGTTTTCGTCGACATCTTAATTTCTCACTTGTAAATTGAGCTGCGCCAGCAACCGCAAATTAGACCCCAAAGTATACGTACTTTGTGGATGCCAAATATTCCCCAAAGGTCTCCATTCACCCTTTCCACATGCCACACACAAGCACGCATTACTACACACACATTCATGCGTAAAACCAACACACACACACATACAGAGACCTGAGGAGAGACACAAAGGCGAACTCCGGCTGGCGGAGGAGGACGAGGAGCAAGTTGCAAGTGGCAAGTTGGGATGAAAGGGACAAACAGCGCGTGGTCGAGTATGTTGCAAGTGCGTGAGTGCCACAAAGGTGTGATGGCGTCGCGCCATTGAAGTTCAGAGTATGGGAGGGTGTGGGGGAGGACGGTGCTGCGAGCGGCATGTGGCATGCCACACCACAGCGATTGTCGAGTTCGATGGATTTCCTTAATTATTAAGTGCCATTAGGTATCCGGATGGCAAATTGAATTTAAACTAAATTAATTCCACAACTACACTAGCAGGTAAATAGACTAAATTGATGGCCAATCGATAGTCTCGATAAATTAATCGATATTATAGGCGATGAATGAAAGTTAATAGAGTTGATAGTTTAAAGGAAAGTGAGGGTTTTTAAGGATATTTTGGGATTTATATAAATAATAGCTTTGAAGGATATTTATTTTATTAAAAAACTCAATTCGATTACTTTTCGATATTTTCGATAAAAATAAAGAATAAGGGGTATAAGAAAGAGATTAAAATATATAGAGATTTTAAGATTATATAGGATTTTTGGATTTAAAAAAGAAAATAAAATATAGAACATATATAAAATAAAGAATATAAAATATAAGATTATTTAAGGATATATTGAGAATCTAACAATGTAAACCTTTAGGTGCTCAATATTCTGACTAGATATAATCGATAAATTAGATACTAATTCGATTAATTAATATCGATTGGAAATACTGTTTTAAAAAATGTTTAAAGACAAAAGATCTAAGAAATTGTAAGATATTATTAAGATATTAAGATAGTAAGATTAGAGATTAGATATTAAGAGTAAGATATTAGATATATAATATTTAGAACTTGAAACCGAAACCTTTTTAAATCCCTAAATACTTAAAACATATAAATTAATTTCTTTAGTTAAAAATTAAAACTATAACTAGTAACTATAATTTTTTTTCTCTCTGCTAATCCTGAATGTCTAATGATTTTCTTCTAAATTGATTTCTGTTTTCGTATTTATTCTGAAACTACTTGTGGGGATTAATCGGCGCTTCCATTAGCAACCAATAGGTACCAGAGACCCCCCCTTTTAAATCCCCGCCCCTGACTTTTAATCTCCCACCGATGATTTATAAAAAAAAGGAAAATAGGAGACCCCCCTTTCAGTTGGCTGCTACATTTGCTGCGATTTCCCCAAGGGTGGCCCTGTCTACCCTCCCCCTCTCTCTCTCTCGCCCCCCTGGGAACAAGGACGCTCCTTTCGTGCCGTCGCGCTTTTCACACCGCCCTGCCACCCTACCACCCCCCGCCCTCCCCTTTAGACAAACATTTGCAAATGAGCGTTGGAGCGTTGGAGCAGGAGACGCCTCAGGTGGAAGCCCTCTATACCCCCTCCCCCTCCCTCAGGTGTCGTTGCAATATGCGTGCACAATTAGAGATAGTTGTGGCAGGGAATGGCTGTGGCAGCTTTTCGGTTCCAAAATTGAAATATTTAATTAAATTTGACAAAGTGGCAAGGTGGCAGTAGCGGTGGCGGTGGCAGTGGCAGTGGCATGCCCCTCTTGTCGTTGTCCTTTTTTTTTTACTTTTGAATTTCAAATTTCTTGCCACAAGTTGCAGATGAGGGAAGCCATTTAAATTGCATCATTTTTCAAACTAAAAAGGTTTCTAAAAATATAAACCCACCTTTTTTTTTAAATATTTTTTTTAAAATAAAATCTTTAACTAATTTAACTGTCAGGGAGTCGTTTTTCTTTTGTTTTCCTTTCCTGTGACCCCTCCGCCCCCCCCTATGGCCAATGACGTGCTATTATTTCCAAGCCAAGTTTCGTCCTCCAAGGAAGTCCTGCCCCTGCTACCTCTCGTGGCTCGCGTGGCACGTACAAACTTTGTCTGGTTCTTTTTGGTTGAATTCGAATGGCAACTTTTGGGCGGCAATGTGGCAATGTGGCAGGAAAAGTCCTATGGTAGTCCAAGACCAACTCGCAAGTCCAAGAATGATTCATGGGAGCTGCAATTTAGCTGCCAACTCGCGAAAAGTACCGGAAACGCATTCATTTTCCGCATTTTTCACATCAATAATAGAGTGCCACAAAGCGGGAGGAGAAGAAGGATCAAGAGGAGGAGTAGAGTCCTTCTTAAGAGTCCTAACTGCAGTCCTAATTAAGTTTGCAACATTTATGACTTGTTGGCCATTAAGACCAACTTCCAGCAACAAGGCCAAAAACTGGTTAAGTGGCAGCCTTGTTTCAAAGCTTATTGATTGGCTTTTCGTTTCTGGTTTCCCTACCCACATCCTTGTTCCTGGCTCTGTATCAAGGATAACTAAGAGCCCGTCCAATTCATTTCACGGTTCGTCTGCCATCCAAAATGGCCCACTCCCAAGGACACCCTTGGAGTCCCCGGGCTTAGGCTGCACTCGTCTGTGAAATGATGACAGTTGCGGTTGCCATTTTTTACTGTCCTTGGAATTTATTGGCCATGGAAGAGAGAGAGAGAGAGCGAGTCCTTCCAAGACTTGCAACCAAAAATATTATTAAATAGTCGTAGTCCTTTCTTCACCCTTTTGGCCTGGTATCTGTGGTGTCCAGTTTTTGATTCGGATTTGGTTGCCCTTCCCCACCCACATGGCTGCTCCTGACAGATAAGCTGCCACAATATGGCGCCACAGCACTGAGAGAAATGCCCGGCACTTAGTTGATCCAACACCACCTTCTATTAGCCCCGATTTCGCTCAGTGCCCCAAGCCACCGCGCTCATATTTCAGGCTTGTGTTTATGCAGCTTAACACTTGGTGCCCCCTTGGTGCCCCCTTGCTGCCCCCTTGCTGCCCCCCCCTTTCCGGAGATAACGAGCCAACCAGAAAAAAAAAAAAAGAATCCATTAAGCTGCTTACGCCGGCCAGCCGCCGGACAGACCGCTTCCGACTTTGCAAAGTTTATTAAACATAATTATTAAAAAAAAAAGTGTAAAAAAAAAAAAATATTATAGAAACGGAAGCCATCGGCGATGCAATTAGAGAAGCCTGGCCAGGAGGAGGGAAGTCAGGAGGCTTCCCAGGCCAAAGGTGAGAGTTCCGGCACTGCCCTTGCCCGGCTGCTGAGTCTCGGCCTCGCGGGGCAGAGCCCGGCTGCGACGCGCCTTATCGATGGAGGACTGGCAGGAGGACTCGCGCCTCACATACCGGAACAGGGACTCCACCAGGTTGCTGGGGGTGATGTTCTCGCAGCGTTCCAGCAGCTTCACGGTGCAGGTCTCAAACTCGTATAGGTCCAGGCACTGGCTAGGGCCCAGCACAAAGTTGGGCAGATCGGAGCCGGAGGTCCAGTTCTGGCTGAGCTCCTTGGGCAGATATCCGCCGAAGGTGGAGTTGAGGCATCTGCCGATCCCGTCGCGGCTCTGGTGCAGGCACTCGGGTCCCTGCTCGGCGATGAAGAGGGCGATCTGGTCGCCGTCCTTGAAGCAGACAAAGTCGAGGAGCTTGTCGGTGATGCGACGCATCATGGCGTTGTGGCTCTTCTCCTCGCGGGTCAGACAGGGGATGAGGGCCTCGTTGAAGTCGTTGATGCAGGCCTTGGCCTGGGGCATGCGCTTGCAGTACTTCTCGAACACGATGTCCAGGTCGCCCTTGGGACTGGCCTCCTCGATCTCCTGCTGGATGGCCGTGAAGTTGGCCAGTCCGGCCAGGCACTCGCCCAGCTTGGTGGCCGCCGTCTCAATGTTGCCGCTCAGCACCGAGGCGTCCACCTCCTTGCCGGGATTGGCCTTTTCGCACTTGGAGCGCAACAGCTCCTGCAAATCCTGCAGCGTGATGCTGGCGTTGCGCAACCCCTCCGGCAGATAGCTCTCCTTCAGCTTGTCCACGTCCACGTTCTTCAGCAGCGACGGGTCGAGGCCGTCAAGGTCCACTGCCAGGACGGCGCTGGCCAGGATCGCCAGGAGCGCGCACACCAACCGTATCGTCCAGCTCGACATTCTCGCGTTGACTGGCAAGAAAATCGTAGCCCAACAGCCGAGCACAACACCAGTGGAGGCACTTCCCTTATCTCGAATGCCAACAGCACCAGCAGCAGCAGCAGAGGGGTCAGTTTCTGATTAAACCGGCTACCAGACACTGGCCACGAGGGTAATCACCCAGCCATAGCAGAGCAGGGTAGAGCAGAGCGGAGCGGAGCAGAGCCCATTAAGGCAGCAAACATTGCTCGTTTTACTGGCCAGCTGGAGTACTCGCAGAAAAAGGGTACTACTTCTTCTACTTAGGGGGGGGGGGGGACACATGGAAGCCCAGCCCAGAAATAGGAAATAAAAGGCAACAGAAGGGCAGAGAAGGCAGAGAAGGCAGAAATCTTTCAGGGATAGGGATTATATTTATTTTTAAGAATAAATTATTGATTTAAAAGCTTAAAATACTAAATAATACCACAGAAATGGAGAAAGTAGCGGACAAAATAGAGATATTGAATTTTAAATACAATAATATAACTAAATATATATTATTTTTAGAGGAAAGTGTGTATTTAATAAGCCAAAAATACTAAATAATACTAAACAAGCAGACAAAGTAGCGGACAAAGAAGCGGACAAGCGGACAGGCTGGCAAATAAAGACAGAAATCTTTAATTATTTGCTTAAATTATTTATTTAATAAACCAAAAATACAAAATAAGGTTAAACAAACGGACAAGAAAGCGGACAAGCGGACACCATAGCGGACAAACGGACAAAGAAGCGGACAAGTGGACAAATATAGAAAGAGATAATTCATTGAAAGAGTATATATATTTTCTTTAGAAGAAATTATTTAAATAATGATCGAAAAATACTAAAAAGTTCTAAACAAAAATATAAAAATGCGGACAAAATAGCGGACAGACGGACAAAGAAGCAGAAAAATTGAAAAGAAAGCGGACAAAGGACAAAAAATAAGAAAAACGGACAAGAAAGCGGACAAACGGACAAGCCGACAAATGAAGACATAAATCATAATAGACATAATAATTTTTTTAAATTTATTATTATAAAACAAACCAAAAATACCAAATAAGGTTAAACAAACGAATAATATACCAGACAAAGTCGCGGACAAGCGGACATACGGACACCCGAACAAACACATCTCTCCCTCTGATAAAGATTCAATTTCCCCCATCACCCACCCACAACCACTATCATCATAACTACAAAAACATACTTTTTTTTTTCAAAGTGCACTTAAGTAGAACAATAATACTAGAGATTTTATTTTTGTGTTTTTGCGACCTCTTGACCTTTTTTAATCTGTTCAACAGATTCTAAGAGCGACAGTTTAATTTCATTAAACATTTAAACGCCCGCTTTAATGATTATTTTTCAAGTACTTACTATATATTATTCGCATTTAATTCCAACAATACCATCATGCTAGACCTCTGCCCTCCACCCAAATAGGCCATTAATTTTTAATCAAAATCCAGAGCCCGGTCTGGCCCAAATAGGGGCTATAACTATATGTATACCTGTCCATGTTGATAAGCTACTGTATGATACTACCATAATAGCTTTGGATTTAATGGATTTTCTGGTAAAAGTCAAGATAATGCTATCATCATACTCTTTATAGAGGGGGGCGGGGAGTGGGGAGGGGATTTAGGATCTATAATGGGGGAGAACACGAGATTGGAAGAGAACAAGTGGGATAGAGAGAAAGAGAGATAACCCCATGACACACTCTCTAAAAAGCGATAAGCCTTATCGGACATACCTGATGCTCGATCCCGACAGCCAATCGTCAAAATGGGTTTCTATTCAAATCGGAATTCTATTCAAATTCTATTCAATTTCTATAAATATTTTAAACGAATTTGTTTGAAAATGCTTTACAAGTTATATAAGAATTCTTAAAAAAATGCTATAAGAACTTTATAGTAATTGTTCTTTTATAATAAACTCATAAAGAGTCTATATAATAAACTCTATTCATAACCTCTACAGTTCTATAAAAGTTCTTTAAGAGCTCCCTTCTTAGGGAGAATCTTCTATAAGAATCTTAAAAAACAATCTATTAGAATTCTATCCAAATTCTATTCAAATTCTATTCAAATTCTATAAATATTTTAAACGAATTTGTTTGAAAATGCTATGCAAGTTATATAAGAATTTTTTTTAAAAATTCTATAAGAACTTTATAATCATTAATCATTTATTATAAACTCTATAAGAGTCTATATTATACACTCTATATGTAACCTCTAGAGTTCTATAAAAGTTCTTTAAGAGCTCCCTAAGATTTCTATAAGAATCTTTAAAAACAATCTAGTAGAATTCTATTCAAAATTTTTTAAATTTTCTCGAAGTTCAACATTAATTATCAAAGATCTATCATATACAAAAAATAGTTCTCTAAGAAAGAAAGAAAAAAGCGAATAAAATAAGATTTCTATGAAGAATCTAAAAAAAAAATACTAAAATAATTCTATAAGATAAGTATAAGAAGTATTTTTAGTATATACTATATGTATATAAGTAAGTATTAAATTTTAAGTAGGTTTTTTTTTATCCAAATCCTACATGAACTATTCTTAAAAATTCTAAAAGAGGTCTATATAGGACAATAGATATTGATAGATAAAAACCGACAAGTATTCTATAAGAGTCCTATCAGAAATTATTTTAGAATTCTTTTTAAATTTAAGAAATATCCTTGAAGAGTTCTATAAAAATTCTATATAAATCATTTTACAAGCTCTATAAGAATTCTACAATTTCTGAAACTTTTTTAAATACCATGTCAAGCTAAAACTTATAAGAAATGAAACATATTTAAGCAAAATTCCTTTGCTTTCCAGATCAGAACTCAGAAATATGATATAAAGAATTTTTAATAAATACAATTTCCTATAAATGATATAGATATAGACCTCAAAATGAAACCATTTTTCTTTAAAGAAGCTATAGAGTCAATAGTATTATATCGTTCCCTAAGAAACAATATCCAAGGCAAAATATAATAAAATCTTTTCTCTAAAAAAACTTTTAAGTTAAATAGAAGATCTTAAAATGGAACCACTATCCTCAATAGACCTCTTATAAGCCCTGCTCTTTATAGACCTTTTTATAGGTCTATGATCCCCATAATGCCCCAATATAAAAATAAACAGAACCAAATATATGATAACTAACTGAAGAAATATCTATAAATTATAAAGAAGACTTTATTTTGGAAGACACCTTTCCTTATAGACTATATATAGACTCTTAATAGACTCTATAATAAAGAGACTATAAATCCCTCAATTAAGGAATAAACTAGATAAAATATAATAAAATTATCACAAAAAAACCTTTTAAATTATAAAGAAAACTTCACTTAAAAAAATCTTCTCCTTTATAGGCCCCTATACCCCCCCTCTACAGGGTACATGGTACTCGAGCGTTAAAACACCCACTAGATGAAAAAAAGAAAATAAAACCAAGACGTGCCTGGCAAGAAGAAAGTAACAATTTATCTTCGTTTGTTGCGGAAGTTGCAAGTGCAATAAACAACTTTGCAGGGGGGCTTGTGGCAAGCACAGGGTGCCGCACAGCCAATGCAACATTTTGGTGCAAGAATAATTCCAAAATATTTAGCCAACAACTCGAAGGGGGGGCTGAGATCTGGTAAGAAAATTGAAATAGCAAGGATTTTCAACACAAAACAAAGTGAGCATCATTAATTGCTGCCCGTTTGGTTAGATGGAGGGGGGGCGTGGCATGTTGCAAGTAAACTACACTCCCCCACCCCCCCGAAAGGGGAGTGGCTGCATTAGTTGGCTGCAATTAGTCAGAAGCATTTATCTCAAGGTGGAAAGAGCTTCAAGTGCTTAAGAAATTCTTAAAAAAATTAAATATTAATTTAAAAATTATATAAATTATATAATTTTAAATAAAATATTTAATAATTAAAAGCTTAAGAATAAAAAAACAACCAATAAAAATCATTGAAAAACCCCAACTAGAAACCTCACACCCCTGGCCAAGGACACTTGTGGGTCAGTAGGGGAGGTCAACAGGGGGCGTGGCTTTGGGGCGGATGTTGGCACCCATCTAATTGCAGCTGCCAATAAAGACAAGGGCCACCAAAGGGTTATGGGGGCAGGAAAGGAAAAGCAGGATCAAGCGGAGGCCATTTGCCAATTGCTTTTCCAGCGTTTCCGTTTCCGCTTTTGAGGCTTTTGTCAGTGTGTGTGTGTATCAGTGTGTGTGTGTGATGCGCTTAGTTAATGATAATTAGTGAAGCTCAACATGATGATGAGGTTACTACTAATGAAGATATTATTGTTATGCACACATGCCCCATGCCACATGCCACATGCCACATGCTCCATATTTGAATATATATGCCACCAGTGTGTTTGCTCGCTTTAATGCAAATAATTCATTTCATAATCAAGCGTTGCAAGCGCAGCACATCTCACAGATACCAGGACTCACAGATAGAGATACAAAGATACACACCCATACTTGCACAAAAGGAGGTGGAGATACAAACACAAACAAGGACACTGATAGCCGTGCAGGTGGCAGATGCATTGCAAGGCAAACAGTCGGAAGGAATAGGTCTCCATGATAGTCTTCGGCTCGCCTCGCCTCCTCCACCCATGTGGTCCGCATGTGGGCCAGCCCTTTGACCTTTTGTGCCAGCCGAGGGATTCCAAAGCTCTAAAGCCCCTCCCTCCAGTAATGAGCAGGCTCCCCAGCTTCAAACAAATATAGAAATGAACTTTTGCAAGCAAATACTTGGGATTTCAAGCCGATTTCCAACTCTATTAGGACCTTACCACTCTCTCTCTGTGGCAAAGGATATCGTCCTTTCCAAGGATTCCATCCGAATACTGCTCAGATTCTAGTGCAGAATGGCCAGAAACCCTTCCACTAATTATTTGAGGTGTTTCTCTTGGAAATCGGGTGAGAATTGGCCGAGATATGGGTATGGGTAGGGGCCCTATGGGGATATCCGCGATTTTCAAAGGGGTTCCATCGGAAAAATTTGAAAAAATTCGAAAAAATATTTTATTCTCGGATTTTGATGCAGAATGGTGGAGAATCCTTCCACAAATCGTTTGAGGTACTCCTTTCTAGAATCGGATCAGAATTGGCCGAGATATGGGTATGGGTAGGGGCCCTATAGGGATATCCGGAATTTTCAAAGGGGTTCCATCGGAAAAATTTGAAAAAATTCGAAAAAATATTTTACTCTCGGATTTTGATGCAGAATGGTGGAGAATCCTTCCACAAATCGATTGAGGTACTTCTTTCTGGAATCGGATGAGAATTGGCCGAGATATGGGTATGGATAGGGGCCTCATAGGGAAATTCGGGATTTTGAAAGGGGTTCCATCGGAAAAATTTGAAACAATTCGAAAAAATATTTTATTCTCGGATTTTGATGCAGAATGGTGGAGAATCCTTCCACAAATCGATTGAGGTACTCCTTTCAAGGATCGGATGAGAATTGGCCGAGATATGGGTATGGATAGGGGCCTCATAGGGAAATTCGCGATTTTCAAAGGGGTTCCATCGGAAAAATTTGAAACAATTCGAAAAAATATTTTATTCTCGGATTTTGATGCAGAATGGTGGAGAATCCTTCCACAAATCGATTGAGGTACTCCTTTCTAGAATCGGTTGAGAATTGGCCGAGATATGGGTATGGATAGGGGCCTCATAGGGAAATTCAGGATTTCCAAAGGGGTCGGAAAAATCGGAAAAATTTGAAAAAATTCGAAAAAATATTTTATTCTCGGATTTTGATACAGAATGGTGGAGAATCTTCCCACAAATCGTTTGAGGTACTCCTCTTTAAGAATTTAATAAGAATTGCTCAAGATATAGCCATTTTACCAAAATATTACGTATACGCACCGTTGGCCCCTAGAAAATTTTAAACCCAAACGAGACGCTTTGGAACAGCTTTAAAGTTCAGAAACACTTTAAGAGGAGCTCTTTGAGTGGAATTTGTGAATGAGGAATGTGAGTATGATTTTTCTGTGAGGCACTTGGGTCAAGTCCGTTAACCCCTTGTCGCCCCAACTCCAACCCCAACTCTAACCCCCGGAGCTCTGGCTGTTCATCTGCCAGAAGCACAATTAAATCGAGTGCAAACCGCAAAAACACAAATGAGAAATGCAGCGAGTTTTCAGTTTATCGGCAACGAATCACCCAACTTGTGGATGGAGGTCTCTTGGCCCAACCCCCCACCCAGCCCCCTGGAAAACCCTTCCGCTTGCCGTTCGGCACTTTTCACTTTTCGGAAATGACTCCGCAGGAGGCCGGCCAGCAAACAAAACAATGACGAAAGAAATGCAATAACTAAAACCGACCGCAAACAAAACTTTTGCCAGCCGCAGTTACCAACAAAACAGAACATAATGTCATTTAGGGCCAGATATCCAATGGCCAGGAGGGGTCAGAGGCGGGGAAACCCTCTGATGAATGTGCGTGACACTCCAAAAAAACCAGAAAATAGTTTAAAATGTAGTATTTAGTTTAAAGTTAAAACATAAAGCTATATAATGGAAAGTAACCGGAGAAAGGTTGAAATAAATCAGACTTGAAGGGGTCAGGGGTCAGGGACTGGAACATAAATCATAGAGGACTCTCTGCCTGTCGATGTTGTATCCTTTTTGGCCTTTTGTTGCAAGTAGGATATATTATTTTCGTTTTCTTTTTTTTTTATTGTTAATGCGAATTGGTTGACTGGCGCTTAGATAAAGTCAAATTATTTCTTCCTTCTTTGTTTGCTTTCTTTCTTTCATTTTTTCCCCCTTTTTTGTGTTTGTTTTGCTTTTTGTTTGTTTGTTTGTTTGCATTTCTCCGAGTTCTTGGGTTCTTCCAACTCTTTTTGCACGCACCCCTCCGCTCAAAAGATTGACTGACAGTCGTGTGCTGATATCCTGCCACAGGACCATGCCACATGTGTGTCGATGATTTTTTTTTTTTTTTGCTCAACTTTTCACTTTGATTCCGTTTGAATTTCCGCACCTTCGCACATACATATAGGAGGGAGGGCATACCTCTGCCCGATTCGGCCTTAACTTTTTTTTTTTTTGCGAGATTCAATGATTTTGAGGAATATTTCTCAACGCAGCTCCTTTGACAAACAAATGAGACTGGGAGAGAGGAGAGAGGAGAGAAGAGAAGCAAACATATACCCACACGTGTTTGCATTGCAAATCCTCTTCCTACGACAGCCAGGGTATGTTAGGTTAGTTTAAAATACTATATTAGTATATATACTAAATAAATAAATCATATCTTAAAACTATAAGCTAAACAAAAAACCCAAAACAAGAACTAAGAACCTCCCGCTTAAAAGTATGCTATGATTTTTGTGCTGGGTACTCACCTCGCTTACTCCTTCCACTACTTTCAGATGGCATCCGGTATAACGGGACTTGGCGAGAGGAGCCCACTGCAGCCACACTCGCTGCTCTGCTCTCCACCTCTGTTTGCTCATGTAAATCGAGCCTTCTCTTTCCTTGCCCTCCCCTCGCCACTGTCACCGTCCTCTTCTAACTGAGTTTATTAACGTTGGGGTTTTTTGGACGCCCGCCAACATTTTCGGCTTGACCTCCGACCTCGACTCGATGACGGCAAACATTTGCATTTGCATTTACATTGACATTCTCTGCTTGTTACGCGGCTTAGGTAACGGGATTTTTGATTTTCCACCTCTCCCTATGCCATTCTTTCATAAACTTTGCCCTTAATGGCCAAAATTTAAAGGGTGGCCTTGTTTTAATTGAATATAGTTAAATTTCTTAATAAATTTCTTAATGCGGCATTTCTTAATAAAAAATTAAGAAGAAGAAAATATATGCATATAAAAACTAAAAAAATTTTAACAAATTTTATAGAGTATTTTTAAATTTTAGATAATTTTTTAAGTACCTTTTAGGCATTTTAAGCTTCAAGACTTTTCTGCAAACAGGGTCCACCCTCTAAGCTCTAATTGCTCTTCATTCAATTAACGGTATGTCAAAGGCAAATCTAGAAATAAAAAAAATTTTAATAATTAAAATATAAAACCAAAATATATAATTTTATTAAAAATTAATATTATTAAAAATAATTTTTGTATAAATTTTAATAATAATTGTAAAACTTTTACGCATTTTAAGTTTCTTTACTTTTCTTTAAATAAAGTCCACCCTTTAGCTTCCTTTCCACTTTCCACTTAGTTCTACCTTTCTCTTTTTTCTCATCCACTCGAAAAAAAAAAATGAAAAGGACAGGCAATCTTCACCTTTTTGTGCACTTCACTTAATCGATTATCTTTTGTGATTCACTTTCTTAATTGCACTTTAATTATCTCATTATAATATTAAAAGGTTTTTTCTAAATTAAAACAAACTAATTAAGATTCTTAAGCCGCCGCAATTCAACAGAATTTATGCGCAGTTACTGTAAGCTCCGATCAAAGTTAGAGATAAGAAACGTGCATGTGCATGTGCATGTGCTTCTTCTTGCATTTTTTTCTTCTCCCCCACTTCATAGGGCCTCCGAGGGGGAGGGGGATAAGAGTTCACTTACCTTATTGCCGATCTTGGTTTTAATCACTTTTAGTTATTATATTTAATATTTATTAACTATTTTAGTATTTTTGCTTAAAGTTCCAAGATAGAGACAGAGATAAGAAAAAATGACTCTTCTTCTTCTCCTATTTCACAGCTTCACTTTTCGCTTTTTCTTTCACTTTCTTTAGCACTTTCCTGCATCACCACCTGCTTATGTTCATTACCTTGTTAATTATTACACTATTTACTATTAACTTTGATGATTAATTAATTTTAATCTCTTAAAACAATTAACTATCAAACGTGTGCAAAGTTCACTAACCGATTGCAGCGATTGATTGAAATGAGCGATAAGAAAATGTGGATCTGGACCATCTCTCGCTCTCTCGCAGCAGCCCCGCACCTCGCTCACTCTCCAAAGCTCAGCTCAAGCTACCCTGGAAATGAGTATCAAAACCAGCTTTGATTGTTTTCCCAAGTCACGTCGCCCCAATTAACTAAAAACAATTAAAAATAAAAAAACATATTTTATCAATGCCGTGATAATTTTAATTCAAGTTTATTGTTTTTATTTTTTTTGGTTTAAAAAAAAAACTTCAGCTGCGTCAATAGGGTCTCTTATAGCTCCCTCTCTTTTTGCATTTATTAATGGGTATACACCTGCCGGTCGCATCCCGGGCATAACCATCCAAACAGTAGCAACCGTCCGGGCAGCGTATATGCCGTATCAGGCAAGGCTCTCCCAGGGTAGCACACTCCGTTTGGCAGCTGGGGCCGCATGGCCGAAAGTTCTCATTTTCGGGGCACTCTCTGGGCGCTGTGAGTTAAAGCTTTAGTTAACGGTGGATCCTTAGAGGGGAGTTTGAGGGGGGGAGTTATTTCACTCACTAATGGGTATCTGAGCGGAGACCTTGAGCAGCAAGAAGCAACTGAGCAGCAGCAGCAGCGAGTTCCGGAGGAGTGTCATCTTTGAATTTCAGAAATCAAAACTGATCGGATGAGCTAACAAACAACGGCTTTTTATACTCAGTAATTAGAGAGTAGATGGGGTATAATAGACCTTTGATTGGGTTTGCCAGTAATGGTTATTATTCACTAATTTTAAATAGAATACCCCCAATAAATTAAAAATTATTATATTCCCCTCAAATCTCCTAACAAAGCAGGGTATTCTCAAGTCGAATAACCCCAAAAACCCCCTCCAATTCTAGAACCAGCTATCGTTCAAGGGGATCCACCCACCAGGTGTTTCAGAAACAATAACAGACCCACCTCCGCGGGGGGTTACCACCACCTGACTTGTTTACAAAAATATGCTCGGTGCTTTATTGAGGGATACGGTCTATGGACAAAATACCTAAAATTTTCAAAACGCAATGATGGCCGAGAATGATGGGCGAGCGAGAAGCTACTGGTGGTGATCATGGAGATCAGGCGGAGCTGCTGCGTCGGCGTCTCTTGTGGCGCTTGTGACTCTTCTTGCTGGGCGTCCGCCGGCTGTGCGACTTGCTGCTGGACCTGCTCCGGCGTATGCTCTTGGCTGTGCTTCGGGAACGGCTGCGGCGACTGGTCCGGCTGCTGCGCGACTTGCTCCGGCTGCGGCGTCGCTTCTTGGGACTCTTGCGGCGGGAAGAGGACTGCGATACAGATGCCGATTTCCTGGTGGATGACGAGGCTGATGCCTGAGATGGTTCTTTTGTTTCCTTGCGTCTTTGGCGGCGTCGATGGGAGGAGGTTCGGCTGGAGACACTGGCGGAACTGCTTCTCGTGCGACTTCTAGACCGACTCCTGCTGCGCCGGTGGGTCTTGTAGGAACGCGAACCGGAGGATTTTGTGGATGTGGCCACCACCTGGACGTCGTCGTCGTCGGAGAGGAGGACCGACGTCGCTGGCGGCGGTGGAAGCGGAGGAGTGGCTATCGTCGGCACGGGTTTGCTGGTGAAGGTATTGGTGCTGTCATCGTTCAGCAGATTGTACTTTTCCAGATCACCGTCATCCTCCTCGTCCTCCTCCTCCTCCTCTTCGTTGTGGGTCTTCTCCTTTTCCTTGTCCTCCTTGGGCTTCTCCTCGGTTGGGGCGTCTCCCTCGTCATCGTCGTCGTCGTCAGGTCCGAAGTAGGTGATGGGTATGGAGCGCACGGAATCGTTGGATTCGTTGTCACTGTCGTTGCGGGAAACACCCGCCGCAGCTTCAGGAGGATTGGGAGCACTTCCCGGGAGCGAGGCCGCCGCAATGGCACCTTCACCTAAAAGAGGATTAGTGCCAGGACAACTAATAGATGCGGAGGAACACTCACCTTTGATTTGATTGAGGAATGCCAGAGCCTTTCGTTTCCTCTCGAGCTGGAGCTGTTTCTCCCGGGATATCATGCCGTTCAGCTTCTCCCGGGCTATCTGGGCCAGCTTGTCCTTTACGCGATCTTCAGCTAAAGGATATTTCCATTAATTTTGAAAAAGGATTCTATACGAGACCACTCACCTTGTCGCTGTTCGTTGGAAGAAGAGGAGGCGCCTGCTTTTTGGTTTGCGGTTCTGGCCAGGAGCTGCGTCTCCACCTGCTTGATGGCCCGCTGAACGCTGTCGGGCATTCCGGGACGAACCTGCTCTGATCCTGCCACCGAACTGGCCTCCTCGTCGCTGACCTCCTGAGGCATGGTCGGTTGCAGCGGAGTATGTTCATCTCGGGCCCGTATGGAGAAGCTAACAGGTCCTGGAAGGATATGGAGGCGATAGAATCAACAATCCAAAGACTATCCCCACAAAACGAACCTTTGTCCAGACTATTCCCAGCCGCTGCTGCTGCTCCTCCAAACTTGAGACCCTTCTTGGACATTAGAGCTGCTGCCACGGCGGCAGCCTTGCGAGTCTTCTGCTCCTTGGAGGCGGCGTCCACATCACCGGTGACTTTGTAGAGGTAGTAGGCGTAGAACTCGTTCTCCGGCACCAGGAAACTGAAACGCTCCACGCTCTTTGTGCGCAGCGTCTCCTCGAACTGGCGACCATTCTTGATCACGTACGTGGCCGTCTTGTCGATGATATGTCGCAGGTTTTCCTCGGGAACGGGGAACTTGAGGATTACTTCGGGTTTCTAAAGGTGACATGGAGGGATTAGGGATTCCACTTGAAACTCCAAAGCTACCTTACCTTCTCTTCCGGTTTGGGCGCCGGCTCCTCCTCCTCCTCCTCGCTTTCGGAGCTATAGTTTTGGGCCAGGGCCAGTGCGCTGGTGTTCTTGAGAAGCTCCACCTGTGGCGGTGCCTCATTCGCCTCCGGCTGCTCCTGCACCGTCTCCTCCTCGTGGGCAAACGTACTCCCATTGTATTGCAGCAGCACGGGCGTGAACTCCCCTCCCTGACTATGGCCCTCGGATCGGCAGCTTAGCGTGGGCGAGGCAGTGCCTCCGGAGTGCTGTGAGTTGCCGGCATTGCTGCCCTCATCCTCGAGCAGCACCGCCTGCAGAGGCACGCCCTTGATCTTGCTGATCAGCTGGGTGTAGGCACAATTCGCCGAGGGCTTGTACTTAATGGTGGGCACTGTGATGACCACTTGGGCCGCCCTCCTCGCGCCACTCTCCTCGCCTTGTCCGCCGTCCACTGCCGCAGAGTCTTGATCCTGATCCTGTTGCTTCTGATCTCCGGAAGCCTCTGAGTCGGGAGCAAACTTGGCGGCCTTAATGGCCGCCAGCAGGTGACGATAGTAGGGCTGCAGGTAGCCGCCCTGGGTGAGGAAGTCGAACTGGGGATTGTTGGCCTGCTTGGCCTTGATCAGGATCTCCATTTGGGCGCCCTGGGTGGCGATGAATCGAGCCGTCTTCTCAATAATGGCATGCTGTTTCATCGTCTCTGGCTGCAAGGATATGGCTTTTAAGATATTTCTTTAGAGGATTCATAGCTTGACGCACCAATTGCATGTCCAGTGGAGGAACCATCATCAGGGTGCGTGGAAGGACAAAGGGCTGTTCACTCTCCTCCGAGTTGGGCGAGAGCTGGGCTGGAGTGGTCGAGGAGCCGGCTGCTCCCGCTGCCCCAGACTGGCCATCGTATTGGAAGCCCACCTGGCTATAGCTTCCACCGGAGGTCTCTTGCTGCAATCGTTTCAGATCCTCCTCTGAAGCATCCCGCCAATCAGTGTCCAAATAAAAGAACAGAATACATAAAAAATACAAAAAAAATAAGTTAGTATTTTTTATCAAAAAAAAAAAAACTTAAGGTCGATGTCCTAAAACAGAGAGAGATAGTTAGTTGACACGAAAAAGAGATGGCTAGAGAGGCGGAGAAAGAGAGGCTCGTCCTCTCGCTCGGGATTCGTTCTACGATACGAAGAGATCTGGAAATAAAGCTCGAAATCTGTCTGGGATTTGTGAGGTTTTTTGGTATTTACCTGCTCCGAAGGACACTCTGTGGAAGGTTCTGGGTGTGTGACGTTGATTTCTTTAGTTCTTGATTTTTTTTTTTTGATTGTGATTGACTTTTGTGGTATTTTTACGGTATTTTTCAGTTTTTTGAGGTTAAGATTAAAGAATAAATAGGGTTCAGGAATTGTCGATAAGTATTTTTTAAAAAATTTGAACTTAATACCAAAAAAATAAAAAAATACTTAAAAAACGAAGTCTAAACATGATGGAACAAGTCTAAACATGATTGAACAAGTCTAAACATGATTGAACAAGTCTAAACCTGTCTGAAGTGTATTATCGACAAGCCTGAACCCCGCGGGCCCCAGCCCCAGCCCCAAAGCCCCCATCCGGACTGACTCACCTTGCTGCATACGCAGCTCCTCCTCGTTGTTGTAGAGGAATAGATAGCGCTCCTCCTCGCACAGCTGCTCGGCCCGCTGCTCCTCGGCGCTGAGGTATTCCAGGCGATTGCCATAGCCACCAGGTGGCGCCTCGTGTGGCGTCAGTTCACAGAGGGCGCCTCTCACATCATACCTGGTAGTTAGATGGTTTTTGGACGCAATAGTGGGGTGTAATCGATGATCGATGATCGGATCGGATCGAGAGATTTAGAATCGCGGGTGGCAGTGTGGTTGGTTGGGTTGTGTGTGAGCCGAAAGAGAGCAAGCAGAGAAATATAAACAGAGAGCGGAGAGAAGCATTATCAGTCGATTGGCAAGAACTGGGGGGGCGGGCGGCACGCCTTGCGAGCGGAGCGGCGGGCGGGTGGGGGCGTGAAGCAAATGGTAGTGTATCGAATATCCTTGGACTCCTATACACTTTATGGTTAAAAAAAAAGGATTAAAATAATAAACCATTTGCTTCACACACTCGCTCGCATTCATACAATATTCATATAATTATAATTATAATTAAGATATATATATATATATGTATATATAATATTATTATCATCATAATGCATACTGTTCAGATTAGATTAGGTTTTAAGGCTAGAGATCGTTCATACATACCGCTCCGGTGGCTAAAAAGTTAATCGGTTTACATTTAAAATGGTCAAAGAATTACAGTTTCAAATTGTTTATGGATAGAGATTACAGTTTGAGAAGCACTGAAAAGAGCTGTTATTACAATGGTGTGTGTGTTGTGTGTGTGTTTCTTGTGTGTGTGTATATATGTTGGTTTTGTTTCTATGTATAATTTCTTGATTTTTAGCGACTTTAAAAACACTTTTTTGAAATTTTGAACTTTAAGGTTATCTCGAAAAAACATGTTTCGACTTGTCTGAACTTTTCGGTTTATGTTAAAACTTGTATTTTCTTCAATTTTCAGTTGTATCTTGTAGATAATGTAATATCTATGTTTGTTTGTCTTGTTTTTAGTTGAAATACATTTAAAAACATTCACATTTCCAATTTGTTTTGAAAAACATTATTTTTAGAAACAATCATAGGATGAGTTTCAGAATTAATTGATTCTATTATTTTTTAAGTATTTTGAATCATTTTTAAAGGTTTAACAAGTAAGATTCCAAATCTTTTAAAGATTGTTATAGAATCTTTGTTTATTCTTCATAAGAATTATAGAAGAATATATATTATATTATAGAATTATAGGAAATATAGGTTATTCCATTTTAAAAACCTAAAACTCTCAATTAATTCAACAGATATGAGAATTAATAGGATTTTATAGAAGATTTCTTATAGAGATCTAGGATCAATAGAGATATAACATCTATAGAGATCTTGCATCTATAGAGATCTAACATCTATAGAGATCTAGCTCTATAACCTCTCTAGTAAGCCCTGTGACTTGTAGTTAACCTCTATACAATAATAGGATTCTATAGAGGCTTTCTTATAGAGATAAACATATCATCTATAGAGATCTAGCTCTATGACCTCTCTCTGGTTAAGGCCTATAACTGATAGTTAGCAAATATACGAATGAATAGGACTTTATAGAGACGTTCTTATCTACAAAGACCCGGATCTTCTACAATCTCTCTCTGGTAAGGCCTATGCTTGATATTTCTTGAAAAACTCCACTCCTTGAACCCCAATTCCAGTTCTCAATGTGTGCTTCTGTGGGTGTGTGGGTGTTGTCGTGTTGGGGGGATCCTTACAGGACACAATTTGTTGAATGATTTGAACGGACGAGTGTAGATACTATACTGTATGGATATATATGTATGTATATGTTCTGTATTCGGTGTGGACATGGTTGGATGGTTGGGTGGATATGGTGGAATGGTTGTGATGGTGGTTTTTGTGGCGTACTGATTATCGTATAATTAATGCTCGGGCCAGCCCCAATTATTAACCTGTCTATCTTGAGATTTACATCGCCCATCCAGGGGATCAGCTGCCGGCCGTGGTCCATTTCGCGCGCCTTCTCATCGTCCCGAAATATCTTGCAGGCATATCCAAAGACGAGCAGCTCCAACGGCGGTTGTCGGTTGCTATCGTGACTATAGCCAGCTCCAGATCCACCAGTTGCTCCACTTCCATTACTATTACAGTTGATGATGCTGCCGCCGTGTCCCATCGAGGACGTGGACGAGGATACCAAGGATGTGCCTGTTTTGCGTAGAATTCCGCCCACAGAGCCACCTCCGGCATTTCGTACATTGTAGGGCATCATGATGATGGTACTTTTGGGGGCCGGGAGTTGGAAACTGAAGGACCAGGATGTCCTGGCAATTCAATCACGATGTGATGCTCCTTTTGGCTCCCCTCTCTTTCCCGCTCTCTCTCTCTCTTTCTCTTTATGTGTGTCTATCTCACTCTAGTGCTAGGGCACTGACGGAGCCTCACTCACTATCTCCGAAGACGGACTAGGACTTGGTTGTCCTAGAACTCGTCATTTTAAGTAGAATTTGTAGATTCCTGGATTCTATTTGTATGCGAAATATGCCTTCGTGGCAGAGTGACCAGACTGTGTGAGTGCTTCCTCTTCCAAACGCAGTATTCCACCATTCACGTTGGCAGGGGTGGGTTTCGGTGATGCCAATCTGGCTTATTTCAAGCTATATATAGAATCTATATTATATATCTTGATTCTAGCAGTTAGTTTAACGGAACTTTTCAAATATAATACTTTTATAATCAATATTTTAATAATAATACTTTTTAATAAATATTTTATTTTTTTGGCATAAAAATGAAGGCTTACTTGGATCACATATCAAAGATATAGCATTTTTTTTTTATCTATTATATCCAATAGATACTGTCTTTTTATTCTTAATTAATATATAATTATTTCACACTCCATAATAGTCTATAATCTCAATCTTTGGCATTGGGAAACTTGAGAGTTCGCAGCCTCGAATAGATAATGTCCCAGTCCACATAGGCCCCCACCAGATGGCGCTTGTTGCCCGGGGCATCCTCGTAGGCCGTCCGGCCGTGCAGCATCCTCAGGTTGTTGAAGACAAACACATCGCCCGCTTGGGTCTTGAACTCCACCGCCTCGGACTGGGCCAGGGAGAGGAACTTGTTGTAGGCCTCGTACCAGGCCATTGCCCGATCCAGTGGCACCGTAAACCGACTGTCCCGCTTGGTTGTATTCTGATTGATCCTGGCGTACTGCCCGTCCACGTCCAGACAGATGACCGGCGCCCGCCACAGGCTGTGGAACGGCTTGCCCGCGTCGCCATCGTGTCCGATATCGAACCAGTTTACGGGCACCGTTCGTAGGACTTCAAAGTCCTGGGGATGATGTTGCTTGAGGGCAGCGGCCACATTGAAGCCATCGGTAAGGGTGTTGGCACCACCGCTGGACTCCGATTGGACCAGAGTGTGCAGGATGTTGATGCCGGCCTTGTACTCGTAGTAGGGCATGTCCGTGTGCAGGGGCAGGGGTGTCATCAGGTAGGCATAGTTGCCGGCATTGGGCTTGGACTTGACCTCGAACACATCCCTGAGGGATAGAATCTCAGTTATCAGGGGCTATATCTCTATATTATCCATATCTATATCGGAACCACCCGAAACACCTGCTGGGTGACAAGCAATCGCCACAATCTATCGCCCGACAGCGATAATGGCGCTACTTGATTCCCAGATAATGGCCACTCGAGGGAATGGTTATGTCTTTAAGATTAGAGGAGCTATCGGAGCTACGAATCTCCCCCAGGAGAAAAAATAAAAAAGAAACCATTACCCGTATGTGGTGCGCTTGATGTAGCCAATCCTTTCGGCCAGCTTCCTGGCCACATTGATGTCATCGGGCGCCTCCTTCAGGATGGCAAATCCCTGCACGGCCAGTGCCTCCAGCCAGGCCCGGAGCACCTTGTCCTGCTGCAGCACATCCTGGTAGTCGAACTCCCTGCGCATCGCCGGGAAGTCGGTCTTGCCCCAAAGCTGCGGCGGCGGCTTATAGACCTCGTTCAAGTAGCGCCTCCTGGCCGCCTCCCCAAAGTCCCGCTCCCTCAGCCAGGCTATGTCGTAGCTGCTCTTGTGCTCATCCTGCCATGTCACCTCCAGTTTTTGCTGCTCCCGATTGTAGTGCAGCTTGGAGACTTCAATGTTGAAAGGTCCTCGCTCCCAGTGACTCTTCCGGGCTCTGGTCGCGGCGTGGAAGCAATCGGGACACTGACAGTTGTCCCGCAACCAGATCTGTGGATACTTGAGGACGTGGGGGCCTCCGTTCTCCTCGCGAATCTCCACGTAGCCGGGCGCCAATGAACGAGCCACTGTGCTCGCCGGCCGGCCCAGGAGCAGCCGTCCAATTAGGTTTCTACAGCTCAGCATTCCGGGTTCAACTGCCTGCCCAACCGAGAGGGTTTCTGAGAGAATGTATCTCCTCCCTGCCGCGATAAGCTTATCACAGGTCGTTCTCTTCCAGCAAAGAGTACTCTGAGGCGACGGCCTCCGGCTGCTCCAGCCAGCACTCTCTTTGGTTCTCTGTGGGCACAAAGGTGCGTCGACTTTTGCAGAGCGAGCACTCCAGGAAGAGGGAGAGGCGTTCAATCTCGGCGGGAATTTCTGGTGGAGATTCCAGTGGGGGTATAGGCTCCTCTAGCTTTTCCTGCTTGGGTTTCGTCTTCTTCAGGCGACGATTACGCTTCTTCTTGGGCTTCGGCTTCTGCTCCGGCTCCTTCTCCACCTGGAGCTCGGTATTCACGCCGGGAATCAAGGGCTGGGAGCAGCGTCGGCACAGCTGGCGCTTCACGGCGGGTGCCCTGCATGGGAGGAAGGGTGTACGTTGAAGGATGACTGCTCCTTGGATCCAACCAGCCAACTTACATGCGCATGACGGCCTTGGTGCCCACATTCCGGCATAGTTTGCCGTAGTAAGCCGCCAGTTTGGGTTGTTGCTGGTCGGCCATCAGGTGTGCCGCCTGGAAGAGGAAGTTCATCCGGGAGAAGACCTGTTGCTGGGCCAGTAGCTTCCTCTTGATGTCCTTGGTCATTGTGGGTGATGGGAGTTCCTCGAAATATATTTTTTTATTGGATTTCTGGGTTTATTTTTTTTGAAAACACATGTGCGGGCTGGCAGTGTGACCAGACTAGGATTACGAAATGAAAGCCAAAGATTTCAAGTCTTGTTTTTTAGCTTCTTCTTCTAAGAGGGTTTTAGTTTTTAATTTTTTTAGTTTAATTATTAAAAATTAGGATTGATTTGTTAAAAAAATTAAAAAATAAGCACTTGGAGCTACTTCCAGGTGAATGACAGCTGCTGTCTCTTTTTCTCGCGGCGATTATAACGCTACTTTTCCCGCCTGCCCAATGGCTGGTCACACTGCCGAAGCCAGCTGTTTCCCGCGTTTTTGATTCGCGAATTGCAATTGGCCAAAAAGGAGTGCAGCGGGAAAGCAGACAACTAACCAGGCCGAGAAGCCAAACAATGCAACGGCAGCCGACCACCTAGAGTCCTGCCGCCGAAGAAGGATTCCCAGCCAACAGTCAACGTTTGTTTTAAAGCTTTGGAGGAGCAGATCACCAGGTGGAGTTGGAGGATCAGATCACCAGGTGGAGTTCGAGGAGCAGATCAACAGAATAAGTGGGAGGAGGAGAAGTAGCCCCATCCTCTAGGCATCATGTTTATACAGGATCTGCGTAATGACTTCTACCGCCAGCTGGTGGGGAAGCGCATCCTCATCATCGTCAACTATGACATCGATGCCATCTGCGCCAGCCGCATCCTGCAGGCACTCTTCAAGTACGATCACATGCTGTACACGGTGGTGCCCATCATGGGCGTCACTGGCCTGAGGCGGGCCTATGGCGAGCACCAGGGCGATGTCAAGTACGTCGTCCTCGTCAATTGTGGCGGCTGTGTGGACATTGTGGAGCTCCTGCAGCCGGCCGAGGATGTGACCTTCTTTATATGCGACTCGCATCGGCCCTTCGACGTCTGCAACATCTACAGCGACCGGCAGGTGTGCATTCTGGGCGATGCCAGTCTGGAGGAGAACATACCCGCCTTCGAGACCATATTCTACGACTCGGATGGAGAGGACGACGACCAGGATGGCGAGGAGGAGGACGGCGAGGATGAGAACGACAACGAACAGGATCAGAACGACAGTGGTGCGGGAGAGTCCGATCAGGAGGATGGAGAATCTCGGCCGCCCAGGAAGAACAAGCTCAGTCGCCTGGAGCAGCACGAGCAGCGGGTCCTGAAGCAGCGAGCCCGCCGGCAGTGGGAATCGGAGCGCGATAGGATCATGTTCGAGTACACCCAGTTCAGCTACTATGGCCGCTCCACGGCCCTGCTCATCTTCGAGCTGGCCTGGAAGCTGTCCAAGGACAACATGGACCTGCTCTGGTGGGCCATCGTGGGCATCACCGAGCAGCTGCTCCTCGGCAAGATCGAGAGCGGCGCCTACACCCTCGAGCTGGAGCAGATCCAGTCCCATGTCTCCCGCCTGACGAACAAAACCAACGACCAGAACACGATGAGTGCCTCCAAGATCTGTTTCGAAAACGATCTGCACCTGGTCTTGTACCGTCACTGGCCAGTCACGGAGTCTATGAGGTGAGCTTGGCCCTCCTGACCTCCAATGGATGGCTATATCTTACTCCCACTATGTGTTTCAGGTACTCCCGGTATGCCAGTTGCCAGCTGAAGCTGTGGACGCTGCGCGGCGAGAAGCGTCTCCACGAACTGCTCCTGGAGATGGGCCTGCCGCTGGTCCATGCCCGCCAGACCTACGGTGCGATGGACTTGGTGCTGCGCAAGGAATTCTACTCGATGGTGGAGCGTCTGGCGGAGAAGTACGACATCCCGGACATCGTCTATGGAACCTTTACCCTGAGCTACGGCTACAGGAGCAGATATGCGGCCGCCGACTACGTCTACGCCCTGCTGGCCATCATGGAGTCGGTGAAGAAGCACAAGACTCCGGAGGATTGTTTCCTGGAGGCCTCCGACGCCCTCAGCCGCCAGCACAAGCAGCTCCTGGCCGCGGGCATCGATCAGGCCAAGCTTCTCCATGCGGCCGTCTTCCGGCAGGTGCAGAGCAGCCTGGAGGCCCGCCAAGTCCACTCGGCGGGCTCCTTCTTCTACTATGTGCTGCAGGAGGAGCACGCGTTCTTCTCCTATCCGTATGCCCTCTGTCTGCTGGCGCGTTTCCTGCTGCGCGGGCACGTGGCCACGAGTCGGGCCCGCCAGGCGCCGGACCTGCCGCTGATCGCTACCTGCCCCCTGGACGCCGTCAACGGCATGTGCCTGCTGGTCGGGATCGCTCCCGTAAGGGAGGATTCGCCGCGCAACTTCTTCGGCAAGGCCTTCGAACAGGCGGCCCAGAAGAGCGGTGTCTCCCTGCTGCAGGACTTTTTCGAGCCGGCGGTGGTCCAGCTGCGTCAGAGTGACCTCACCCGCTTCCTGGACGCCCTCACCGTACTGCTCACATAGTTTCCACATCCATTATAGCGCCTAGTTTATGTTTTTTTTTCTAAGATAGACCCCTAAGACCACCACCCCCTGAGAGAGACCTAATACGATAATATTTTATAATTAATACCCCCCCCCCCCCCCTCCCCTGTATACAACTAAGACGATATTATTTATATGTCCTGTAATCCCGTTTTATCGCCTGGACCACAAGAGTTAGCCTAAGAGATGATCCGTTTTTTTTTTAATAGACCTACATATCCAGACATCTTTGCGAGAAACGAGTGTTGACCAGCTCCTAGAATAAAACGTAGATGTTTAAAGTGTTCAGCATGAAGGAGTGCGAGTTTTCCATGAAGGGGGGGGAAGGAGAAGGACCTGCCAGAATAATTAAAGGTTATCCTTTCATTTATTTACAAGAACAGCCACCCACATCCTACTAGCCACCATCAGCTGTAGGAACTCCCCACTTCTTTCAGCTTTCCTTCCACTATTTGGAGAGGATCCGCTCGCAGGATTCGCGCGGAGCCCAGACAGGCCGTGTCATCATAGAAGACAGCATACTGGCCCGGTGTGATGGCTCTCAGAGGGGCATCTAGCACCACTTGGAACTGATTCTCGTCGGAAATCCTCAGAGAACAGTCCACCAGGGGCTTGGTGTGCTGGAAGCGAAACCGACACCTCAGGAAGCCCTCAGAAAGGCACCTTCTTTGGGACTCGGCACACAGCCAGTTGGGAGGATCTAGGTGCATCCGTGTACTGAGCACCGAGGGATGATCGTGTCCTGCCGCCACATAGATGGTGTTGCTGGTGGCCTCCTTGCGGGCCACAAAATAGGGTTGAAGGAAGGAACTCAGGCGACATCGCTGGCCCACAGTCCACTGATGAATACCCTCGTGTTGGCCCACAATAGCGCCACTATCCACGTCCACAAAGTGTCCCTTCTTGGAGCTGATGTACTGCGGAGTAGAGATTCTCTTTTAAAACGCTGTTTCCCTGCCAGGAGTTGGAAGTGCTACCTCTCGAATAAAGTCCTTGAAGTTCCTCTTGCCGACGAAACAGATCCCTGTGCTCTCCCGTTTGCTGGCCAGCCGCTGGAGGCCGATCTTGGCGGCCAGCTGCTTCACCTGCGCCTTCTGCAGATCCCCCAGGGGGAACATGGTGCGCTGCAGCGACTTCCGGGCAATGCCGGCCAGGAAGAACGTTTGATCCTTGAACGTGTCGGCGGGTATTAGGAGGCGGGCGTCTTCCTCGCCACCCCTGGCCTTTTCCAGGAAATTTCCCAAACTGTTGCGGGCATAGTGCCCTGTGGCCACCGCATCATAGTTGAGACTCTCCAGGCAATGCCTGTGGAACAGGTCAAACTTGATGTGCCGGTTGCACAAGATATCCGGATTCGGGGTGAGTCCCTGCTGGTAGTCCTCGAGGAACTGGCTGAACACCGCCGTCCAGTATTCCCGCACATAGTTGACTTGTCGCAGCTCCACGCCCAGTCGCCGGCACGCCCACTCGGCATCCTTCAGGTCCGCCTCGCCGCTGCATCGTCCTGCCTCGTCGAACTCGTCCCAGTTTCGCATAAAGACGCCCAGGACACTGTAGCCACGCTCCTTTAGCAGGTGGGCGGTTACGGCGCTATCCACGCCTCCTGACACGCCCACCACCACCTTACGGATCATTTAGTTTTCGAATTAAAATCAAAATATAAAATATTTCTTCATAACAATGGTTTGTTATTGTCGGCGAGGTGAACAGCTGATGCTTGGAGCAAGTTGGCAGCTCTGTCATCTGGCTTAAGAGTATTTTTCATACTAACAGGAAGTATTTTTGATAACGGTATTTTTTGATGTAATTTTAAGCATTTCTTTGTTTTATTAATGAGAATTTTGGGTTTTCTAGTAAATTACTTTGAGAATAATTATTTTACATCATATTTTTATAAATTGGAAGCAAGTTTTATACAATATTCGAGATATTTTCACTATTTTTAACCATCTTGCTAGTATTTTTTACTTCTAAAGCTTAAAATATCCAAGAAAATCATAGTTTCATGAATGAAGATTATGTTTTTAGATTTTTTCTAAGCTTAACATAAACTTTAGAATGTTTTTTTTAATAAAATTTATAAAAACATTCAAAAAAAGTACCGTTTTTCTCAAAAATATGGCTTTATAGGTCATTATTTTTTGAAAGTTTTTAGTTTGCTTTCAAATACTTGATAAATTAATAAATTCTTTTAATTTGTTATCAAAAAAATTAACCTTTTTGTTAATGGTATTTTAAATATATACTAGATAGATTAGAACACTTTGAATTTCCCGCGCAATTTTTGTATTTTTCCATTGAATTTTAAATCCAATCCCAGCCCCTTGAGGTCTTCTAAAGTCTATAAAAAGCTCTCAAAATAAGATATAAGCCCTCTAACTAGAATTCTTTATAAATTCCATAATAAAATTAATATTTCTTGATATTTTAGAGAGGCAATATATAAAAAAATAAACATCGATTGGCAGGTATGGGCAAAAAAGCTTGCAGTATTTTGGCAATGGTGTCCTTCCGGTACCTTTTCCATAGTTCGGTCACTTTAAGTTTCGCTGCCGCACCGTTATTCCCATCCTCGTTCTGACATCCGGTTGTGCTACGGAGAAAGGCAACATCGTCGGACCGGAGAAAGCAAGTACGTCTGTGATTCCGTCGCCAAAATACACCGGATAATATTTCGCTTGTGAGCCACAAATCAAAAATTCCAAAAAGGTACGATTTTTATTTTTATATATTTTTTTTTCAAGTGTTTCCGAGTGGTATTCGAAGGGTAAACCTTCCCCACACGCGTGTGTTTTTCCAAAAAAAAAAAAATTAACAACATTTAGTTAGTGATTGTTGGGTGTAAGTTGTGTGTGTTTTTTGATGGTGTTTTCTGCGAGAATGGGATGAACTGGCCGAGATGGCCTTAAAGGATAGAAAACATTGAGCCAAAAAAAGTAAAAAAAAAAAGCGGCATGCATCATGTTGCAAGATTTTCTTGCTTCCCTCTGTAGCATCATAACCGCGCTTCGTATTTGTTTTGATTCGTAGTCGAGGTTCGAGGCGGCATTAGTTTTGGTTTTTTTTTTTTTATTTTTTGTATTTCTCGTTTATTTTGAATTATGAGATTTTTTCAAACTCCACGTGTTTGCAGTTTCAGTTTTCTTCCATTCTCCATTCCCATTCTTTTCAAGGTTTTTTTTGGCTTTTATCTTCTCTTTCTTTTTTTTTGGAAACTTGCAAGTATTGAAAACCACGTTTTTAGGTTATAATATGTGTGTTTTTTCGGTTAAGTGTATGTGTGTGTGATGCTTCCATGTGCCTTCATAGTTGTGTTTGTTTTTTTACCAAAATTTCTAAGATTTTTGTCTTGAAATTTATAATTATAATTATAATAGTAAGTCTCATCTAAAGCTAAGGGGATTATAGTTTGGTAACTATTTATAACTAGTTATAAAGTGCTTTAAATTCGCCAAAATTCACTTTCAAAACATATACAAGGGAAGTACTCCAGTACTTGCACTTGCAAATACTTGTATACTTTTCTGTATACAACTCCGTGTAATATGAGTGTATTGTTTAAAGATGTATCGGCATCGTGTTGCCCAGAAAGGTTTTGTTTATAGAAAGAAGAAGAAACGATGCCACGCTTTCAAGAAGACGCCACGCTCTGAAGATGACGCTACTCTTAAGAGTTACTCTATTCTATTTTTTATTTAATTTCTTTTTAATTTCCAGATGTTTTAGAATTTATTTTTTAATGACTTGACTTAGTAAGAGACCTCCGAGATCATTAAAGACATGTGTTCTTCAAGTTCTTTAACTTTTATTTTTTTTTCATAAAAATGAAAAACTGCCTTTGGTGTCCTCTCCAACACCCAGTGGCTATGTATTTAACTTTTCATTGCATTTTTTCCAATTCCGTTAGCCCTGCCGGCTATGTATATATATTTTCCCATTTTCCAATTTAATCAAACTCATATGTCAGAGTAGTGAAATGAAATATCTGCACAAAATACAACTGACATGCATATTAAATTTATTGACTGCCACGCCTCCACGCCTTCATTTAGCTTTAGATAGGCGCTTGGACAGAGCTCCCTCTGTTGGCCAATTACTGACCTGACAGGGTCTATAAGAGTTTTTTTTTATTATTATTGAATTAAAGTCTCTTTCCATTGGCTTTCCACAATGGACGTTTTTGTCTAGCCTGTTTCCTGATCCTGTCTAGCAAAGAGCCTTTTTTTTTTAAAAAAATGATGGAAAAATAAAATGAGAAAAATGAAGGCAATTAGCTTGCTTCAAAGCGGGCAGCTAATTAAAAATTACACCAAATACAATCAGGGCAACAGCCAGGGCTAAGAAAGTGAATTTATGCGGGGATCAGGGGTGTGGGAGTGGGTGCTGGCAGCTGGGAGTTGGGAGTTGGGTGCGTGGGGGCGTGGCAGGGTCAAATCTTGTTGCGTTAATTGCAGGCCAAGACTTCATTTTGACCCAAAGCTCTTGACACGCGTTTAAAAGTGGTCCAAAGTGGTCAGAAATGGCCAGAACTGAGAAATACGTGAGTCACGGTTTTTAAAAATTATTAATTTTTGATAAAAAGTTAAGATATTTTTTATATGTTTTAATAGATAAAATATTTTTGATATTATTTTAAAGGACAAAATTTTTTGTAATTTTTTTTGTTAAACTTTTAAAGTCTATATTTGTTCTAAATTGTTACTTTCTGACAAGTCACAGCTTTTTCTTTGTGATTTTTAAATAAAAAATTTGTTTCTTTAATATTAAGGATTAAATTAAAGTTTATTTGATCTTTTTTTAATAAAAATATAATAGCTTAAAAAGTCAATATTTGATTAAAATATTTCATTATTTGCTCAAAAAAGTAAGGTTTTCTAATAATTTTTTGGTTTCTTCTTCAAAAAAGGAAAGTTTTTTAGAAAAAGTTCTTAAAAAATCCCACATTCTTGAATAGAATACTATTAAACACAATTATATGTATATTTTCAAGATTAACCAAGATATACAGGACCTAAATATTGTCAAAATATTGTTTAAAAATATATATTTTTGAACTTAAATCTTTAAATATTTTGAAAACCCCAAAACTAAAAGCCATTTAAGCCATAAAAGCTAGTCACGTGCTCAGCTCAGCTCTCAGATTTTTGTATTTAGCTTCTAGACTCGTTTTATGCCCGCCCGCCACGCCTCCACCGCCCACGGCCCACGGCCCACGGCCAACGCTGGCCTCAGCTGTCAGTCTGTCAAAATGTGTAGCATACTTTTTTGGGGTCGCTCGGTACTTGAGATGAAGGCGGTACGGCCCCCAAGTCGGTTCAGGCGAGTCTCCCCGGAAAATAAAGAGACAGAAGGAGACATTTGTCAGAAGGGGGGGCTTATGTAATTTGGAGTATACTGACTGGATGAGTGGATGAGTGGGTGGATGGACTGTGGTGGGTGGTTGAAGTTCAAGAGGATGAAAGGAGGAAAAGAGAGCAATGTTGACGCCAAGTTAAGCGATTAAGTGGGCGGGAACGGCGAGAATGCAATTTGCATTCCAAAGCCAAACAGAATCACTGAAAACACAAAAAAAAATGCAAGTCTATATAGAAAACTAGCTAGAGGAAGCAATTAGAAAAAAATAGTAAAATAAAGGAGTGCAAGAGAGAGAGAGAAGAGAAGGATAAACAAGGACAAAGATAGATGAAAAACCAAGGAGTTTCTGTCACCGGAACGGATGTAGTTCCCACTCATCGCTGGCCAAAGGCCAACTACACAAATAGCTATTTGGCGAACTTCTATATAGTATTGTCGGATATATAGAAATATATTATCTCTAAAAACCACATCCACCCCTAGTGCCTGTTACAGCTTGGGAACTTGAACAATTTTTAATTTTGTGCCTTTTTCCGGCTTTTGGTTTTCAAATTTCCGCCAAATTATGTGGAAAGGGTGTGAGGGAGGGGAGTTGTCAAGTGCTGTGGCTTCTTAAATTTCCTCCAAAAAACATCCTTTGAGAAGCACCCCCCTATATATCTTTTTTTCTTAGTGTAAAGGACCTCTCTTTGGGTGAAACTTGCCTTGGCCTGGCAAAATGAAATTTAAATCATAAAATATAATTTTCATTTAATGAATTGGATCAAGTTGCATCTCCTTGTCAGTGTGTGTATGTGTGTCCTGGAAGTCTGTTAGTCAGTGTGTGTATGTGTGTATGAGAAGGTCCTGTATGTGTGTGTGTTGAAATTTACAAATACCCTTATGGGACACAAGCTGCATACATGAATATATGGCATATTTTACTTGAATGACTCGCAAGGCAGCAAAGTGGAAAAATTTTTGCAGTTTGCGAAAATCTTTTGGTGCGAAAAAGTTTGTCCTTCGTCCTTCGTTCTGCCCTCTCACCCCACCACCTTCCCCTTTTTTTTTTTGGTAGCTCTACTGTTATCAATTTGATTGAGTTGAAAGCATCAGCTCTTAGCTCTTCGAAGCATTCCGCAATGAAGCCAGAAAAGCCAGCCAGAAGCAAATATTGAATGCCAGGACACTGAAAGAAATTAAAGAGTACTTTGTGGGTAGAGAAAAAGAAAAGGATCTCTTAAGGACATAACCATTTATCCTACAATATTATATATTTTTTTAATCATCAAATTCTTAGTATTTATTATTTACAGTGTAGTTGGCTTGGCCTAATCCCTGCCAGGTGACATTGGCCCGCTTGGTGGGTTATGCAATAAGCTGTTACCCATTTCCTGTCCCGGCTTCCGAGTGGAGAGCTTTTTGGCAAAAAAAAAAAAAAAAAAAAAAAGTGCACCACAATGACAAGAGGTATCCTGCCCCGTAAGGAGGCACTAATATAGGGTGCAGGGACATCGCTTGACGTTGGCCTTGCTTGTCCTTATTCGTGTACACGCCACCTCCCCCCCCCACCTTGCTCGTCCTTCTGGCATCTGTGCCTCCATCCGAACTAAACTACATCCCTCCCCTCCCCCCTCTAGATCCTCTAGACCCACAAGGTCTCGCCGTGTTTCATGTTTGTGGGGGCGGTGGGGTGGGCATTGTTTGGGGAAAACTGGCAACAATAACCGACGGCGACAAAGAAATGCAGGAGTGCAGAAGTAGTTTTTCCACAACAGGACATCCATCCAGGACATGCCGAAAAAAGAGAGAGAGCAAAGGATATAATATCCTTTCCTAGTCATCTTCCCTTTTTTTTTTAATTTCCAATCGAAAATTGATCTAAAAATTCATCGTAAATAGCAACGATTATGTGTGCCTTATCGTCCTTTGAGATGGGATGTATTTATGATATCCTTGCAGGATATGGCATACAACTAATTTGCCAATCAACCGATATCGTTGCCAAATCAGCAAACCCATCTCACGTTTGCCATGACTTTGCCCTTTTCCCCATCCTGGCATATCCTTTGGCTGCCCAAATTAATTGGCCAGCCCTCGTTGAGGTCAAAGTTGATGATGTGAATGGGGTTTGTGGCCAATACCCACCCCTCTTAATGGGCCCCCATTTAGTATCCTTGAAACAATCATCGTCCCTGTGCAGGATAACAGGATGGCTGGATGGCTGGGGTGTCAGGTGCCCGATTCGAAGAACTCCTCATCAGTCAGGCGAGTCGGGCCTGAAGTCAAGTGAAGTCAAGTCGGAAGTTGTCAGGCCACTTGGCTTTCCAAATGGAAATTCCTTGTTTATAATTTATCAGAGACAAAGGACAAAG